ATATTTCGAGAAAAACATCGATTAATAATGGTTAATCATAATATGTTAAGAGCAGTGGGGCACAAGAGCATACTCGTTTCTCTTGGATTCTTTAGTTTTGTTTTAGCCAAATTGAGTTATTTGTCCAAGATATCCCTAAACTACAACTTTTATTTTAATTTAATTTTTTTTATTAATATGAGATAAGTATAAGATAATATATGTTTAAAATAATTTTTAATCATTTGATATTAAATGCTCACACATTAATATTTTTTGTGCTCGAACTCGATACTTCAATAAATAACATGATTCCTTTAATACTGACGTCAACTGATTGGATCTTGCAAGTTTATATGTTCTTAAACATGTTTATTTTTTTTTTGTGCAGTGTATTCTGATGCTGGGAGGCAATTCTGAAATGGAGAGCTCGACATTGCAAAGGATCGATCAAATCAGCATCAAGTGATAATTTCTAAAAGCTATGAAGAATCCAGTCTTTTGAAAACTAATCTCGAGGAACTTGAACAAAAAAAGGGGGAGATACGCGAATTAAATATGAAGCTTCACCAGGCTATTAAAGATTTGAATGAAAGCAATGGTGAGAGAAGGAAGCTTCTTCTTGCTGCCAAAGGGAAGGATGATATTTTATCATTAGTTAAAGCAAATAAAAATCAGCACAGAAAACAGATGGAATCAATAATTATTCTTGTCCAAGGACTTTTTAAGGAATTCACTGCTTTTGAATGTCGAGTTTCAGATTATATGAAGGGGAGAAATCTAAGGTACTTCTCTATCACTACTACCTTTTTCCTCCCATTTCTGACTGATGAATCTTCTTTCAGTGGATTCTCGTAGCAATTTTGGGATATTTGTGGATATTTTTGGAACTTTTTTTGATTTTATGTTCTCTTACATGTCCAAATGAATAAAAGGTTAATAATGGAAAGAAACATTCAATTTGAAGTTGTTAAATTGTTGTTTTCTCCCTAACCAAATGAATTTTATCCTAGGTTTTCTCATCGTGGTTGTAACTGTTGAATGCATTGTTTCCCTCTCAAATATATGGTTTGGATTTGGCCTTAGCCCTCGGCTTGCTTAGCAAAGGAAAATAGGCTTAAGCTATGTCTATGTCCCTAGTCTCTACTTTAATACTTAAAATAGGCTAAAGCCATGTCTCTGCCTCTACTTCAAGACTTACTTTCCAGGTTGCTAATACTCACAAAACTGGTTCACATTGTCAAGAAAGTTTGATTGAGCTCATCCCTTTAACTCTTAACCTATCAACTGATACGTAGTTATGAGAACTCTCATATGCAGACAGACTCTTATGACACAAATGGGTTCTTGATTCAATTGTTTATCGTGTCTGTCTGTTCTAATTTCCCTGCCTTGATGCAAAATGGTTGTTTTTTTCGTTTTAATTGTAAACCAACATGTTGGGGACCCCTTGATGGGTATAGTAATGTATAACTCATACCCATCAAGTGAAGCTCGTTTGGATGTTAAAAAAGAAACTCTCACTCTGGTCTATTTCTTTTTTATCGGTGTGTTACTGTGTCCTTTGCTCTTCCTCATGTTCATATATGGACCCTTCAGCTTTTATTCTCTTTGGATTGTAGTTTAATTTGGTATTTTGGCACTGACTTCTCATCCTATTGTTTCATTTTAAGAAGTACCTGCACTAATTTGTGTTGAATTTTCATTTCATTTAACTTCAAACTGGTCAATTTTCAGGTCGGAAATTTAAGCTCCCAATCCGGTTCTCTAATTCAGATGGTAAACATTTTGAAAAGAAAGGGATTGCAATATAAGCAAAGTTTTGGAAGGAGATGTTGTGACCTTGAAAGGCTGAAAATGAGGTATGTCAGAAGGTTAACATAAGTCAGAATTCAGAAACATTAAAGCTTTCCATTCTGAGATGAGTTTATAAACATACAACATAAAATAAAGTTCAGAAGAAATAAATATGCTTAGGTAGTGCCAATGATAAAACTAGGCTGAAGATGTTTCCCATGGTTCTAGTATAGACATTCTCAATTGACTTTTCCGAATTTTCCTCCCGTTAGCAATTGTTTAGGAAGAACAGTATTGAGGGAGTAGCGTAGCAATACGGTAGTGAATGCTCTACATGTTAGTTGATCACCTAACATTATTAGAAGGTGAGAAATGCAAAAAGAAAGCAGATGAAGAATTCAATCATGAAATTTTCATTGAAAAACAATAAATTGACTGCTAGGCCTTTTATCAACACAAATGATTACTTTTGATTTGACTTATGATTTATGAAGTTTAAGTTTTACTTTAATGGTATACAATTTATGTAACCAAAGGAGAGATCCTTGTATCATTAATTCGGTAGGGTATCATTAGTTATTGTTTTTTCCTCTTGTATTGTAGGTTGACCTCTTGGGTGATGAGGTGGAAGTACTTTTTGGCCTCCTCGAGAATATAGACATTGCGCTTAATCATTATTCCCCAGTATTGAAACATTATTCTGGAGTAAGTTGTTTCTTCATTATACTGAACTTAAATATCATTTATATTTCTTAGAAAGAGTCTAATTATGGTGTCTATGCAACCTTAGGTCATGTAGCATCGATATTAGCTATGGTACTATGATTATACAAATATTGTTTCCCTACTGTGTATCCCTTAAATCAGCCGTGCCCATAATTTCTGTATTCCTGCCTCTTTTTATCACATGGTTGGCGTTTTTTTTTTGAAAGAGAACATATTATTAATGTAATAAGAAGAAGAAAAAGCAAAGCACGGGGCCTCGTTAAAAAACCTCCCTAACCCTATGTGGAGGAAAAAGAGTGCACCTGAGCAAAGTCATTACAAAACAAAGCTGCTCCCAAAGAACAACACAGCCTAGAACATCCAATGCTGGCCGAAAGCAGAACAAAACTTCACCCCAAGAACATCACAGCCAAGCTAAAACACAAAACCAAATTTAACCAGAGATAACACCAGCAGCCAGCTTCGCGAGGGAGTCTGCAGCCATATTCCTGCTTCTAGGAATGTGTTTAATTAAGAAATTTCCTTTAAAAACAGTCTCTGTACCAGTCTAAGGACTTCCTCCCACTCGGGAGGAATCAAATTCGGGTTTTTAAGCCATTTCACAACCGATTCACAATCGCATTCTAGAGATTGGTTTGGCGTTTCTTAATATATTGTTTTGCTTGTTTCAGATTATGGAGATGCTAGAGCTTGTTAGAAAAGAATTGAGTGGAGAATCTAGGAAGCCACGTTGATTTATCCTTTCATTGGGTAGTGTTTTTAATAAACTTAATGCTCCATAGGAAAGAAAGTTGCATCTAAAGCTAATTAGATTTTTTTTCTGTGATTAGCTGTTGTATAATGTTATGTTACTTGGACTCTTTCTTTTCTTGAAGTACCTGTTTTCGACCCATATCCAAATATTGGTATGAGGTTATGATTTTCCAAAGATCTTCCAAGTACATGGAAAAACGTAGAAATTGAACATATTCTTGTCTAACACATCTCAAGTCCTATTAACATTGTGTTTATACGTGTTTGACTAAGTTATTGTTGTTTAAGAAACATCAAGTTCATGCCACATATTTCTAGTCTAGATAGTCCAAGAACAAGGGAAAAACAAAAAAATTGAGCATATCCCTGCATTCGACACTAGCCGCACTGAGTCCAGCTAAATTATTGTAGTTCAAGAAACAGCATGTTCAGGCCACCTAGTTCTAGCATGTAATTTTCTGAACCTATTTGTTTCATTTTTGCTTGCAGATGAATGGTTGCTTCTTTCCATCCCTTGTGTTTTCTACCTTCTCAGGCATTCAACATATGGAAAGGAATTGTAGCTTACTCAAAAATTTCACAATCAGGAATAGGATTTTGCACAGGTGACCTAGAAAGATGCATCTTATCTCTGTCGGTTATGCTATTCTCTCTGTATAGAAACTCAGAAGGTAGTTTGTTAGTATTTTGATGAGATTCTTTTGACATGAATTCATGGATTCTCCTAGCTTTTAAAACGCACCACAAGTGTTATTTTAAGGTTTCTCTACCATAGCTGTACAGACTTAGTAAGCTAATGGTCTGGCAATCCATGTTCGTGTACTTTGTATAACTTTTGTCAAGTTGATAACTTGTCTTACACAGATTTTGATATGCTTGTGTGTTCACATCGTGTTTTTAGTCCTGTGTTGTGTAATATTATCGTGTTTGGCATTTTCGGGTACAAATGGAATGCCCTTTTGCTTCCGTCCGGCTGTGAGTTGCATCTTTGATCCTTTTTCTCAAGTACTCATGTTCCATGTATATTCAAACACAATCATAGATGTTGATGCTTAATGGTAGCTGTTGTGATCTTTTTTAGCTTGAATAGAAAGTAACAGATTGAAACGTGAAATTAGATATGACAAATATTTTAAGAACAGATATAGATATTTTCAGTTGAAGAAAGTTTTTGAAAAATTTATAAAAGAAAAAAGAGAATTTTTTGTTAAAGAAGGGAAGAAAAAATTGTTTCTTATTTTTAATGTCATAAGATGATTATTAAAATATTTTTTTATAAATTCTATTAAAATATATATTTATTACAGATACAATAAATATGATATTTAATGTGTTGATACACTGTATACATCGTATAGAACGTAATGACATATAGATGTTTTCACGTGTTAAATATCATAATTTTTGAAAAATAGTCCACTCTTTGGAAAGGAAAAAGAATTGTGACAGTGGTGGGTCGGATAGAGAAGTGTGGGCGAGACCCGACCCTGTAGGGGATCCGCTTTCTTTGGTACGCTTTGATTCGTTTGGCTAGGCCTAGTTCCAGTACCAGTACCATCTTCTCCATCTTGAATATTGATCTGATCTCAATCTTTCTCTTCTAGGGCGCTTCAAATCCTCCCTTCTTTTCAGATCCAAATTACCATTTAGTTCTTCAAAAAAAATTACCACTTAATTACAAAACCAAACACACATTTCCGTCACGACAAATTCTTTCAAGATCCATTCTAAAACATTCTTTTCCTTTTTAAATTATTTGATAGAAATAGCTTTCCTTTTCCCCCAAATTTTCTTTGTTTGATGGTTTGTAGATTTTGAAAATGGATTCACAGCCTTCCCCATCGGGAAGGTCGTCGACGGTTGGTCGTACCTCTTCATTTTCCGTCGCCGATTCGGGTGGCCAAACGCTCTCTTCCGTCCTCAACAATCCTCATGCCGGAAAATTGGATGCTTCTTGGGGTGGTTGGTGGTCGGTAGCGCCGCCCGAATTCGCCCCCTTAACGTCCAACAAAGCGACATCTGACCTCGCCCGATCCGATTTCCAATCATATGTTAGTTCCATCTCTGATTCTTACCATCGATTTGAGGACATTCGGAATCACATCACCAAGGAACAAACATTCGATGTCGATAACATTGGGGAAGCCCTCGTAGCTTGTTTAAGGGAGGTACCTGCCCTTTATTTTAAGGAAGATTTCGCTCTCGAAGATGGAGGTACCTTCCGAGCAGCCTGTCCATTCAACGATGTTTCTGAGAACATTATGCTTCAGGAGAAATTGACCCATTACTTGGACGTTGTGGAGCTCCATTTGGTGAAGGAGATTTCTTTGCGGTCCAATTCTTTCTTCGAAGCGCAAGGGCAGTTGGAGGACTTGAATGTTAAGATTGTGGAAGGATGCAACCGGATTCGTGATTTGAAGAAAACTATACGGCTGATTGACAGTGATTTGGTTGACTCTGCTCGGCAGACGCAGGAGTTGAATGCCAATAGGACCAACCTGTTGGCTCTCCAACATAAATTGAAGCTTATTCTATCTGTAAACCAAGCGTTATCGGCTCTTAAATTGGTCAGCTTTTTAATTTCCACTTTTCTCTTTTTCATTGTAATTCACCAAGAATAACAGAAACGGAAAAAAAATATATATATATATATTGAAGAGGCTACTTTGTTAATGCTTCTATATGAATTTGATTTAGTTTTATCGGATATGCAGCTTGTTGCATCTGCAGAGTGTGCTGGGGCTTTGGATATTATCGATGATCTGCAACACTTACTGGTATATATTCATCTATCCATGAGATAAAACTTCTTTTATTATTTTTTTTTGAAAAAAAAAATTATGTTCCTTTGCCTGCCTCAGGTTTAAGTTGGTGAATCCATTTGTAAAGTTTTGCCACTTTATAGCTAGAGTTCATGCCTTTGTTCTTCCTTTTGTTTTTGCCAGATCCACATTGTTTAATTAAGTAGCTCTTGCAATTTCACTTATGAAATTGTTCCTTTTCATAGGATGGGAATGATCTTACAGGTTTACATTGCTTTCGTCACCTTCGAGATCATGTAGTTGCTTCTATAGATTCCATAAACAGGTATCGCCCCCCCTAAAGTGCTGTGACATTAATGACACAGGAAATATTACTCACAAACTTTCTTCTTCTGAAACAAATCATTAGTTTGTAATATTACCAACATTCTATACTCCTTTTGGCAGTATTCTTTCCGCAGAATTTATGCGTGCTTCAATACATGATGCTGGGGATAAAGATGCAGTTATATTGTTGAAAGCAAAAGCCAGGGCATCCATTTCCTTGAATGGAGAGGATGTTGGAGTAAGCTTAATTACATTCTTTTCTTTTTTTGGATATCGAATACTCTTGTTTTTCTGTTTACATCTATAGTCAATGGGGTGTGATATACTCCATTTTTTTCTCATCCTTGAAGGAAAGCATCTGCATTATTTGCTTAATTTTACTCACCTTTATGTTCAAGATTAATATTGAAAATATAGAAAATGGATTTAGAATTGAACATTTTATGCAATACTCGTAACTTACTGGGACATCAGACTGACCATAATAGCTTTGCAAATGTGATTTTCTTCATTTGATGATCTTCATTATCTGCTTTAAACTTGACACAACTGAATATTGAAGTGGTTGGATTTCGTAATTGATTTTAATTTGAAGAATTTTGGATGTTCTAAACACCAATGTATTGAAAATGAAAAAAATAAGAAGTTAACATAAAGTTTTAAAAGTAGTGAGAGAAGCTCCAACTTCTCTCTAACCCATGCGTTTTCAAATTTCAAATTTCCAGGGGCTGAGGGAGAGAGAAAATATGAGTGTCGTTTATACAGCCCTAACTACCGTCATCCATCGTTAGCCTTCCACCGTCCGTCGCTTGTCGTCCGCCGTCCACCGCCGCACTCCGAACTCCTTTTGACGCCGTTTTTCTCAAGGATCTTCGTCTACCTAGAGCGTTTCCTTATTCCTGCTTCTTTTTGTTAGATTCCTCTTCAATTGGAGCAAATCTACTTGCCTTTCTCCGCCGTTCTTTTCCACCAACAGTCTTCCGAGTTTCGTTTCAACCGTTCCACTGTGCTCGCCGGAAGCTCGTGACAAAAACCCAAGTACTCTACTGTGAATACCCACTGCCGTTCAACGAAAATCTTCCTGAGAAAAACTTATATTTCCAGATAGTCGTTGCTGGCACTGGGTTTTCACGTACGGAGGCATATCTTCCCTAGCATTATACTTCTCTAGTTTTTTCGTTCAAATCTGCATTCAAAAATGACGTCCAAGAATCGTGTGGCAGTAATAGAGGATTGAGCAGAAACCTCAGCTCGTCAAAATAAAAATCGTCGTCAGTCCGAGATAAAGGAAAATGAGCTCGTTAAGCCTTTGAAAAAAATCAGATTTTAAGGCGAAACGGGTGGATTTTATATTGTCGAAGGTGACTGAAGCAGAGCAACGAAATCAGAGACATGGGCAGCAGACAAGGACTGTGCAGAAATCAGAGGAGGAGAGGAAGAAGTTGAGTAGTACAGTGGCAGCGGATGAATATGAGAGGATGGTGTTGGTGACAAACAAGAATAGGGATGATTCGTTGGTTGAAGCAAGGAGCGTGGAAGAGGCCATTGCACAGATTTCTGAGGCGGAAATCCTACCACAGGATTCCCATGGTCTTAATCACTGGTGGAAGAAAGATTATCCAAGAATCAACAATGGGTATAGAACTGGCTGCTTTACGTTATACATTGTTAATTTACCAGAGAAGATCCATTGGAAGCGGTGTGGATCGTTATTTTGCCCATACGGTGAGGTTATTGACTCCTTCATTCCAACAAAAAGGAATTCAAAGGGGTTTCGGTTCGGTTTCATTCGCTTTGCAAAGATTGGAGAAGCCAGGAGAGCGATCTCAAAGATGAATGGTGCTCGCATTGATGGTAGTAAAATTGGAGTCTCTTTTGCCATATACAACACAAGACATTCTTTTTGGAGAAAGTCTTTGCCTGTGGTTCACCAAAAGCATGAGAGGGAAGATGTTACAAGTAACAATTTCCATACAGTAATCGGTGTGGTCGACGAAGCTAAACTTCATGTTTTGAATAACTGCCTAATGGGGTGGTGCAAGAACTATACCAAAATAGGCGATCTTGCTAGCCAAATGCAAGACAAATGTCTCAATGGTTTCTCGTTAATGAGAGCTGCTGGGAATGTAGTTCTCATGATATTCAAGGACTTTGCTTTGTTGAGAAGGGTTAAGAATGAACAATAAGAGAATCTTGCAGAGTGGTTTTCCAGAGTTAAACCTTGGTTGGAGAGTCTAGTGGTTCAATGCCGTCGAGTATGGGTTGTTTGCGAAGGGATTCCGTTTCACGCGTGGAATTGGGGTACGTTCAAGAACATTGCGGCTAGGTGGGGCGAACTAATATCAATTGATGAAAGCTCTCAGTTTCCTTCATCTTTTGATTGTGCAAAACTTCAAATCCTCACAGAGTCTAAAGTGAGAATTGATGAGTCGTTGAGTTTGAAGGTCGGCTCTAATTTATATGAAATCATGGTGCATGAAGTTGAGCCTTCTTTCAAACCAACTTCTTGGACCCCTGAGGAAGTCGATGATTCTCCAGATCTGACTTGTTCTCTCGGGGATACATCGGAGAATTCTTTGTCAGGATCGTTAGTGTCATCCTCAGGTTTAAATTACCCCGTCGAAGATGTTGCAATTGAAGGTACCCAATTAGAAGAGGTTCCACTCATAAAGAGTGTCAAAAGCTATGAGAATTCGAGTATTAAATTGGGGTTACACACAATGGAGGCTGTGGATTCTGATGGAGTTAGCCTCAGGGCCTCGGAAGATGTTCTTATGATGGGTCTCTTTACTTCTCATGGTTCATCTAGTGACGCAATTCAATTAATGGAAGACACCCCAGTGGTACCCCCTATCCCTGGGAAATTTAGAACTAATCGTGTGGTGAAGAAACGCAAGAAAAAGAAAAGAGTTTTGAATTAAGTGGCAATGATACTTTGATTGAAGGGAAGGAAGTGTGGTTTTGGTTCATTGAAGACATCTCATCGAGCTGATTTTTTGGTGATTTTGAATCATGTTGGTATTTTGTGGAGTTCCCTTCAGAGGCGGATGTTTTTGGTTTAATGGTTTCAGGTGTTTTCTTGTATGTTATATCATTAACTGTTGGGATGTTTTCCTTTTGATGGAGGTTTTTTTAGGTATAGGGTGGTTGCCTCTAGATTTTTGTGGTCGAGAAGGCGAGAGTTTTAGGTGATTATGTTTATTGTAAGGGCATTTATCCTCATTTGAGGGTATTTCGTGGTATCGTATGTAATGGGTGTTTTATTCAATGAAATATGAGGTACTCTTTTCTTTCTTCCAATGTTCGTTAACATACTTCTTAGTATGTGAATGAATACGAAGGGAGTTTTTAATGAGACCTCCAACTTCTATCAAAAAAAAGAAGAAGAAGTTTTTGCAGCTTTCTGATGAAAGCTGAGTGGTTGCGGCTTTTGTTATTTGCTTTTTGGTATCTGTTTCTGCTTCCTAAAAGCTGATGAAAGCCCAAAACAAGATGACAGGGCATCGCCTGGAAATGAATGGAGTATTCCATATACTGTAATGTTTTTCACATTAATTGGACTACAATGTTGGTTTAATTCCTTGAGTGATGCTAAACCACATTGAAAGTTTATTGCCTGTTACACTTTATTGTATGTATTTCTTTATTTATTATTACAGTGGCTTGTAAGTATGATGATGTATTGGAACTGGTAACTAGAATGGGTAGTTTTTGAGCAGGTTAAGTTGGATGAGGAAGAAACCACAAATTTTCGAGATCGTCTTCTGCCTCTTATCATTGGTTTGCTTCGAACTGTGAGCAATTTCCTCTATTTTTTTTCTTTTTATGTTTTTGAATCTGTGTTGCATACAATTATACATATGCGTAGGTCTTTGATCTTCCATGAATGACTTGACATTAGTGAAAATGTTCAAATTAGTGAAAGTTGAGCGACCCTGAAATTGTGTTTGTTAGTAGTGGAGTAGTTTTTCTAAGTAAAATATTCCCACATGGGGTGAATTGGAGAAGTTAATTGATCGGTTAGTAGGGCTTATTTTACTGTTAAAAAAAGTTTTGGGTTTCAAAATGTGTTATAGTGATGTTTGCTCTAGAAGATTTTTTCCCTTCATTTCAGTTGTTTTAAAACTCAGAATCAAATAGGTCACATGTAGCATATGAAAAATTACTTGAAAGCTAATTCTAAAGGAAATTTTTATGGGAACAACTACTACAATTTTCAACATAGGAGTGAAAATCTAGCTATTTTGTTTTTTAAACCTATAACGTTGTCCAGCACATTTCAGAAAAACCTTTAATGTTTCTGAATGTTGAATTGTGGGCTTACGAAAAATTCCAATGGGCTTGACTTACTTACCCAAGCTTTATGGTAACACATGTGGTGACTTCTCCTTTTTTCAATGTTACTTAGAAAGGATTGTTGGGAGGGGTATATAACTACATTAAAAGGAACATCACAGCTCAGTGGTAACCTTAAAACCTCAACCTCATTTAAAACGACGAGTCCTATATTTTCTAGGCTCATTAGTTATAGGCTGTCGGGGACATGCATGTGACATTTCGATGTTGATTAGTAAAGGTGAGTGACTAAAACAGAAAAAAACATGAAAACTTATGAACGCCTGGATAATTTACCTGAGTTATTTTCTTCAATTTCTTCCAAGAAAGTTCTAGAAGGAAGAAGGCTGGTGCAGACCTGCAATTGCATAATCTAAGCTATTAATCCCATTTCTTTTTATCCCTCTGACCCCATATCCATAACTTTGTACTTTCAATAGTGGAATCTGAGGTTGAAACCACCTTGGAAGGAATGATCTAATAATATTGTGGTTGTTTTTCAGGCCAAGCTCCCATTTGTCCTAAGGAATTATCGTGATACACTCACTGCTGATATGAAAACTGCTATTAAGACTGCTGTTGCGGAGCTGCTTCCGGTTCTTGTGGGCCAACCTCTGGAGTCTGATATGTGCACAGAGCGCACTGTGGATGCAGATGGTAAGAACTATTGGATAATAGATCTTGCATGTGTAGAATAATTTACTTGTAGAGCTCTCAGGCTTTGTGTCTCTTTTTATGGAGTGTGGTGGGTTTTTGTGTGTGTGTCTCTTCTGTCCCTTCGAGTTGTTAATGCTAACTGTCTGATGGCTAAGGTGGAGGCTTATCCCTTGCAAGCAAATTGAGGAGTTTGTCATCTGGAAGCATTGTCCAACTTCTGACTGCTATTTTCAAGATTGTACAGGTAATGTATATTTGCCTACTACCAGAGTAAGAATTTACTGAATTGTAAGGGTATAGAAGGCATGATGAATGACATCGTGCATATGTTTTGAGATGCTTAAATATGACAGACACACACACTTACTTTGTTACTAGTAAAAGTACAACTTATAAAAGAAGTTAAAAACTAAATTAAACTAAAGAGAACGCCAGTAAAGCTCTGTGTTTGTGTGTGTGTGTGTCTTAGACACGTGAGGTACTGAGGTGTGTCAAATGTGCCTTGCCTTAAAGGTTATAAGGCATCTTTGTTGTTTGTTGCTAAGGTGCAAACATTTAAAACACTCTGTACGACAAAACTGAATAGCAATTAGATAAACATTAATGTATCTTCATTGCGACAATATTATTATGGTCTGTAAGAAGAGCTGATATTATGATAGGGTGGCAAAGTGTGTTTAGATGACTATTTGAGGTTTACATCTAATCTTAGAATCTGGTTATCCTTGTCTTCTTAGGAGTCCGAAGTTATTAAAAGGTCACTAGGCCAAACAATATAGATTCTATCATATAGCTGATTAGTTGCCCTTAAATTTATGTAAAACGGGGAAAAATACTAAATAATTTAGCTTGCTGGCAAATAAACAAAGGTTGTTATGAGATCTGTGACTGTAGTCCATGTATATGAATTCTGTTAATGTGTTACTGGCTTGAAATATGTGTCTCCTTTGGATATATTTTCCCTAATAAAAATTGGGAAAACTCATTTTTATTTGAAATAAAAAAAATTGCCTGTAATCGTCTTTCTATGCTTGATTAATATGTAGTATATGTTAAGCTTGGTATGGTTGTCTCCTTATGACAATTTCTAGTTTTGCTCGGCACTTACGTAAGATGTAATATGATTTCATTTCTTTTAGTGAATGCAGGCACATTTAGTCCGGGCAGCTGAAGTGAAAAAGGCCATTGAGTGGATAATGTGCAACCTTGATGGCCATTATGCTGCTGATTCAGTCGCTGCTGCAATTGCCCTTGGTGCTATGGCTGCAGAATCTTCTCAAGAGAGTAATGGTCAAGGTTCTTCACTTCCTCCAAATGCATCTTTAAGGAGTACCTCCAAAATCCTTTCATCCCAGGGAAAGGAAATGATGCACCAAGCCCCTCTAATTTGTCAAAGAATTTCAGGTTTAGCCCTCCCCTCCCCTCCTTTCTAATTTTTATTTCACTAACATTACTTGTGGTGTAATATCTCTCTTAGATTCTGAGGTATTTTTGGTGGTTGGAATAGATAGGGGTATGCTCCAGGGGTTTTAAATGGTCTTTTCCCCCTCCCCCCTCCCTTGATCTTTGTTCCCACAAAATGTAATTAATTTAAAATAAGCTCCTTATTTATAATACTCTAGGAAAATTGTATTCTTGGCAGGGCTGATGTTTTAAGAGAAAATGCTGAAGCAGTCTTCGCAGCTTGTGATGCTGCTCATGGAAGGTGGGCAAAGTTGCTTGGGGTTCGTGCTCTTCTTCATCCTAAACTGAGATTGCAAGACTTTTTGAGCATATATAATATCACTCAGGAGTTTATAACTTCTACAGAGAAGGTATTCATTGTTTCTTCTCTAGTGATGAAGGGTTCGACTAACCCCTCTGGGGTTTTGATAATATTGCATGTAAATTTTTATCAGATTGGTGGAAGGTTGGGATATAGCATAAGGGGAACACTGCAGTCACAGGCTAAATCCTTCGTTGATTTTCAACATGAATCTCGAGTTAGTACCTGATACCAATTACCAGTTGTGCTTTGATTGCTTTTTGTTGATACTCTAATCATTTTTGTAATTTTCAACTGTAGATGACGAAAATAAGAGCGGTGCTTGACCAAGAGACATGGGTAGAAGTAGATGTTCCTGATGAGTTTCAGGCAATTGTCTCTTCGCTGTTTGATTCTGAAGCGATAGTTTCTGGAAGCACGGATAATGGTGAAAGTAATATGACAGAAATATACAGTAATGAGGGTTCACAAGTGGCTGAAGCTGGATCACGTGGTTCTGTGGAGCAGAATGATTCTAGTGGTACAGCTGCGGCAAATGCAGCCCAAGGGAAGACTGAGGTGACTGAGAGGAAGAAATCTGATGCCGTAACATCATCTCAGAGTAACAGCTGTAATACAAAGGAACGTGGAAAAAATGCTACACAAACACTTGAATATGGTGGTGTTAGTTATCATATGGTAAACTGGTTAGTTATCCTGTTTTCTTCTTACCCTCATGTCCTTTCCTTTTAGAGGTGGCAAACGAGTCATTTGGATCGGGTTTGGGTCGGGTCATTTCGGGTCTAGATTAAATTCAGTTTAATTTTGTTCGGATCGAATCGTATCTGGTTTGGATCTAGTTCGGGTGTATGGTGAATCGGATCGGGTATCGGGTCGGTTGTTTTCAGTTCGGATCAATATCGGATTGGTTGATTTTCGGGTCAGGGCAATATCGGATCGGTTGATTTTCTGTTTAGGTCAACCTTTAGATTAGGTCAATTCGGGTTGAATTGATTATGAGTCTAACCAAAATCAAGTGTATATATAATAAATATTTTTTGATAAAGAGAAGAGGTCTCATTAAAACCCTCCCTTCATAACCATCGTAAAACTAAGTTTTACGACGGATATCGAAAGGAGGAAAAGAGTACCTCAAAATTTTATTCATTAGAACCAACACAGAGCAAGATTACAATTCTGCTGAGAAACCAAAAGCTCAGCAAGGCCCCTCTAAGTACACTCACTCTCTAGTTACAGAAACTCCCTTTAATTACCCTATCCCTGCCTTAGCTAAAGCATCTGCCTCCCAGTTCTTAGAACGCTTAATATGTCTAAAAGATCGCATTACGAACCAATGCAACAGTTACAATTTCCTTAACTAACTTTAAAAAAGTCATAGGACAGTTTCCAGGATTTTTTAACCACTCCAACGCTATGGCACTGTTACTTTCCAGAATCAATCGACCTTTATCACACCATTTAGATTCTACAAATAAGGAAAGGCCCGCTTGGATGGCTTTCAATTCAGCAAAAATTGTAGGTTCTGGGTCAGCAGCATAGGAGAACAACCCCAATAACTTACTCTCTTCATCTCTCAATAGACCACCAATGCCACTTTCCAACCAATCTTTATTCACAGCCCCATCCACATTTACCTTAAAGAATAATTGATATATGCTTTGTAAAAATATGTCTTCTTATTTGTTAATTTTATCATTTAGGTTTAATTTCATTCTCAGTCGTTCAATATTTTCAATTAAACCATCATTTAGAGATGATAAATCAATAATTTGACACAAATACAATCCTATAATACGTGTTAGAATTTGTTATCAAAATTTTATATTGATCTCGTATGAAAAGTTTATAATGAGAACTATTTAATAAAGAAATAAAATTTTTATTTCCAATTATAAATTTAATATTTTTATTAAATTTTAAAAAATAATAATAACTTTATTTTTAAGTTTTAATCGTAACATAAGTAAACTTTATATTATTTTTATTATAAATCTAATATTATTTCCTTTGTTTTAGTTGTTTCTATTATTTTTATTATAAATCTAATATTTTTATAACAAGTAAGATAAGTAAACTTTATTTATTATTGTTTTCAATCTTACAATTAGATTCTTACTTTTATATTCCTCTTAAACTTTCTATTTTTTATTATATATCTAATATTTTTAATAAATTATCAATTTTATTTAAATTAATTTATTATTTAAAATAACTTTTATCGTTTAATAACTTTTATCAATTTCAATATGTTTGGGTTGCTTTTTGGTCGGGTTAAATTCGGTTCGGGTTGCTTTCGGATTGGGTTAAAATTCGGTTTGGATCAAGTTATCAGACTCTATATTTACTAGTGCCTTACCCATGAAATTTAGCTGTTGGGTATATAGTTCTCTCTCTGGCTCAAGCATTCTGTACCGTGTTCAACTGTGTTCATGTGTACTGTAACTTGTGCAATTATAATCATGTCTGCCATTCATACACTTGTTTTTTCAACAAGAAGACACAATCTACTTGATAAACTAGCCTTAATGCCATTTATTTACTTTCTTGTTCCTTCCAGTGGCTTAATATTGCTGAAGATGCTGTCAGAATACATTGACATGAATCATCTTTTGCCAGCACTATCCTTGGAGGTGGTTCATCGCGTTGCAGAGATTTTAAAATTTTTCAACACAAGAACTTGCCAACTTGTTCTAGGTGCTGGAGCCATGCAGGTATGAGCTAGTTTTCTAGCTAGGATGTTCTTCCCTTAAGTTTTACTTGAGAATAATTTGATTACAACAGAAGGGTTATGGTTGAGACTAGTATGATCGGATGTTGTTTTTCCCTGTGCATGTTTTCATGATTGCTGGTTGTGACTAGAACCATCTTGAACTATATATTTATAATTCTATCATATACTCTATATTAACTCCATTACCGTCATAAAAATTGGAATTGAATGGTATTGCAGGTTTCTGGTTTGAAGTCCATTAATTCTAAACACTTGGCCTTGGCAAGTCAAGTCATTAGTTTCACATATGCCATTATTCCTGGTAGGTTATGATAAGACCATTTTGTCACTATTCCTGATACATAAATATATCAGCTGCATCATCCTTGTTAGCAACAGCTAGATGTCCTATTCGCATATTGAGGCTCAATTTTTCCCAAGTTATCGTCATTTATTTGGAGGACCGTACCCACATTCTTACGTTCAATTATATGGCAGGCACTAGTAAATATAGAGTCCAATAACTTGGCTTTGAAGTTCTACTACAAACATGTGTTGTATTGTCTCACTTTTAACCTCTACGTAACTGTCGATTATTCAGGTTGTGCAGTCTTTTATGGTCTTTTATTGTAAATATATTTTATTAGTTTGAAGAAAGAAATGAAACATTGATTACCGATCTAGTGTCAGACGTTGATTTATGAGTCTTGCGGAAAACAAGGAACTCTTTCCAGTTCAAACTAATAAAAATGAAACATTGATTACCGAACTAGTGTCAGATGTTGATTTATGGTCTTTTATTGTAAATATATTTTATTAGTTTGAAGAAAGAAATGAAACATTGATGATCTAGTGTCAGATGTTGATTTATGTTATTTGCCCGTAACAGTTACAGTTCTGACTTCCCACTATTACCTGATATATGTACTGTATTTGCTTTCTTTGTGTTCTTTTTCTTTTCATTTTTTCAGTTTCATTTTTCTTCTTTGTAGCATCCTTAAATCTATTACATTCTGAGTTCATTATTGAAAAATCGTATGTTGCTGATTAATTGCTGTCTGCTTTGTTTCTGGTCTAAGAATTGAAGCAAATCCTGTTCCTGAAAGTTCCTGAACCTCGGAAATCACTGTTGCTGTTGGAGTTTGATCGAGTTGCACAGGTATAAGACTTCGTCACTTTTTGCATTTTGAAGCATTTCACCTTTTCCTTTATATTTTATCCTTTATTATTATTATTTTTTTGTGTTTTTCATTTTTAAAAGGTTTTTGGCAGAACATTTTATGGCTTTTTTATTGTCTATTGTCTGCTTGTGGCATTATCATTTTCTTTTTCACATCGAGTAATATATATGGTGAAATTCAAGTCTAGAGTAATTAATTTACTGTGTGGAATTAACTTACATACTCCAACTTTCATTTTTCAAGAAGTCGTCACGTCCGGCACATATCAAAGAATGTGGGTACTTCGCACCCAAAATCTAATGATGAAGAAAATATTTTATGCAAGTCAGATACAGATTTATCTGGCAGTTCTGAGTCTAAGCATGGGAGATTGGATACAATATTTTCTTATGATTAACTAATCTGATTATTTTCCATATATTTTGATTTTAGAGTTTATCATGATGTAGATATCCTTTACGCCGACTCATAGTTACTAAATTATGTTGGCTAGCAGGTCTTTAAATAAAACATAACAGATTAAAATAAGACCATTCATTTGCTAAAATTTAATGCAGTGGTGGCAAGTTCAACATTTAGTGAAGATAAATAAACTTAAGGATTGCGGATTGATATATAAACTTGCATAATCACCCGGCGGTTTTCTAAAACTCCTAGGAATTTGAAGGTGACCACAACTATAGAAACTTTATACACACACATATATATGGAGGCCAAGGAACCTTTGAATTTGAATGTGAAGGATTTAGTTATATTTAGAAAAATATTTGGACATGTGGCTATTTTGTTTTATGCTTGTGGAAGTCTTCCTTTTACCAATAAGTATTCTATGATACACATATAATGTCCCGTTTTACCTGCCCTTGCTTGGTACACATTCTTTGATAAATATCTGACTCATTTCTCTAAATTCAGGATTATAGAGTTCACCGGGATGAAATACATACAAAGCTTGTTCAAATAATGAGAGAGAGGTTGTTGGTTCATCTGCGTGGACTACCCCAGATTGTTGAGAGCTGGAATAGGCCAGAGGATGCTGACCTACAGCCCAGTCAATTTGTCAAGTCCCTTACTAAGGTAGCTACAATGTTTTAATTAATTCGATTCCAGGGGTTCTTACCTTTAACCCCTGTTGGTTTTTGTTTCTGATGGATTCAGTTCAGAAAAAAGCACTTTATTAGTTGAAGAGGCATGCAAAAATTCTGGGAGTAGATTTTTTTTATAAGAATTCTGGGAGTAGAATTCCTAAATGAAAGCCCAAATTATGCCATTAGGCTTTTTGTTCAAGTGTAAATAGTTCACTTATTTTACATTTGACTTGAATTGCAATGGATGAATTGTTTTGATGGGCGAACATTCATTTACAGGAAGTTGGGATCCTCCAACGTGTTCTATCTCGAACATTGCATGAAGTAGATGTTCAAGAAATTTTCAGGTGAGGCAAATTCAACTCCTAATTTAGTTACTGGATGGTTTGTTTCATTATCATGCCATGATAAAATTGTCTTACAATTATAACCACTATTTATCGTATACGTGTTAGCTAACCGTGGAGAGAAATGTTTAAAATGTTCTTCGAGTCAAAAGGGTAGGAAATCATATTTGAAGAGTAGAAAGTTTTTAGGAATTTTGAATGGCACCCATAGATTCATTTATATTCCTGGTTGCTTATTGAAGGCTTGATTTCCCTTCATTATACAAGGTGTAGGCGTAATGTTGCCTGTAAAATATTTATGAGAAGAGAGCCTGTTATCCTTGATAAAAACAAGCGAATTTTTTACTGTCCCATCCATTAACGTGTTCTTTTCCCCTTTTCTCTTCCGTTTAATGACATTAATTTTTGTTACACTTAGAATCATTGATATTTGCATCAGGCAACTCTAGTTTTTTTTAATACTTCATTATTGTTGAAAGTAGATGGTTAATTGATGAAATAGGACTGTTCCCTTAAAATTAATTTCTCCTCCGCAGGCAAGTTGTTGTAGTCTTCCATTCACAAATTTCGGAAGCGTTTTCACGCTTAGAAATCAGCACACCTCAGGCAAAAGATAGGTATTGTACTGTGTTTCAAATTTTGACATGAATTGAAATACAATATTGGTTGTCTTTTATGTAACAGGGTTTATTTTTCATGACAGATTGCATCGTGATGTTACACACATTCTTGGATGCATTCGGTCTTTGCCGTGTGATAATTCAAATAATTCTGTTACACCAAACTGGGGTCAACTAGATGAGTTCTTAGCACAAAGGTTTGGGGCTGAATCCGGTTGAGATTTGTTTTGTACAGTAAGACACCCAGATTTGAAAGGACTTTATCAGAGACCAATCCTCAGCCTATGCAAATTGTTTTGTAGAATTAAATTGAGGCAAGGAATCTATGAATCTCCCTCTAGATTTGGTTGTCGAAAGTTTTGTTACGCTAGACAATCGAAATATTATAAAACTAATTCGAATGAGCCAAAATTGTCAAACCTTTGAACCCTTTCACCATTGTTTGTGGAAATGTGTACTACATAGATTCAAGGCAAATAGTGTGTTTCTTAAAGGCAAGATATGCTACCACTTGTATCTTCATCTATGATTATGGCCTGCAAAAGAGGAGAGAATTTGCAGAATGTGATTGTGTTGATTGTTGTCTTTGTTTTTTGGATTTAAATTTTATTTGTCAACAATGAACCAAATTTTATTTTATAAATAAATAGAAATTGGACCAAAATTTTCACCAAGCTCATAATTTGGTTTAAACTTAAAATAATCTAATTATATTTTATATTCTTCCATGTAATTGAAAAGGATGTCGAAAGACTTCTATTCATTCCATAATGTGCTTCGTTCTACAACAATTTGTGAATACATAATTAAGGTAGAACAATATCGCACCACTCAAAACAGGGAGGCCAATGAGATTAAATTCCCTGAACATATACGGAATGGAGATTCATATGGATGAAAGATCTTCATATATGGTCTTGATACCTGGCCTCTCTGAAACAGTTCGGACGCATCTCAATCCTATTCCAAGAACCTCCTTCATTCCCTTATCGGCACCCGGATTCCCAATCTCTTGAGCCAATGCCAAATCATAGCAATCCGAGCCACTACCATCTGCTACCTTCAACCGAACCCAATCTATCAAACCGATCCCTTCTTCCTCCCCCGGAATCACATCACCAGCACATTTGCCTGTTAGAAGTTCCAGCAAAATCACTCCGAATGCATAGACATCAGATTTGAATGAAAGCAACGGTTTCTTTGTATCAGCCAACTCTGGCGCCCGATATCCCAGGAGATCAGCATCTAATATTTGTTCCATAGTTCCAGCTTGTGTCATGAGACGATGTAGGCAGTAGTCGGCAACACGAGCATTAAGATCAGGCCCGTCTAATAGTATGTTGGTCGCTTTTAGGTTACCGTGTGGCACAGCTCGGTCAAAATGGAGATAGTTTAGACCCCGTGCAACATCAACTGCTATCTTCAGCCTCTGTGCCCATGCCAAAGGTGGACCTTTTCTTCCCGGTCGATCTGAAAAAATTACATGAGACTGATTAGGAATAAGACTGAAAGTTGGCCAATATCATAATATCATATCATATACAATATAATTAAAAAGAACATTTCTCCAGGATTTTACCATAAAGAAAGCTTGCAAGACTTCCAGGTGAGATATAATCTGAAAGAATCAGCTTCTCATGCTGAGTAGGGCCCCAATAGTAGCCTCTCAAACCAACCACGTTCGGGTGTCGAATATTCGTGAATTTCTTAGCCTCCTTGGCGAATTCTTTTCTCTGCTTCGCCACCCCTTCTCGAAGCCATTTCACAGTCAAGAATAATCCATTATCCAGTGTTGCCCTGTATGAAGTCCCATGACTGCTCCTTCCCAAAACTTCTGCAGGAGCCCGTGACAGTTCCTCGGGTGTCAATGTGATCGTATCATTGAGAAAATGCAGCTCACCGACAAGCTGGTCCGGTGATCTTACATCCATCTTGCAAGGTGCTCGGCTGTAAATGAATCTCCGGACTCCGGTGACCAAGATAAATGGCTGGTCTTCGAAGGAGAGTAACCGGGAACTGCCACCATTTTCTCACCTGGATTGATAATTTCGGATGATGATCCTTTCTGTGAAGACACGACATCGACCGCTGAAACAACTGTGGGACCCCCACTCTCACTTCCGGCAACACTAGAAGGGTTTCTGGGTGCTCGTTTGCTGACATCTTTACTTGTAACATGCTTCGGAGTTCTCCGTGATATACGGATATAATGTATGAATATAGCAAGCAAGATGAGAATGATAAGAGCAACCACACATGACACCACAACCACCCATTTCACAATTGTGTTGATCGGTTTCTTCTTCGATTCAGCGGGGCCATTGTTTGATCCAGAAGGAATGGTCGGCAAATACAACTTAGAATTTCCAGGGTAGAAGGAAGAAGTAGGGAACTTCCTCAGGCTTTCCGGGACAACTCCAGAGAGATCGTTGTAGGAAACATTAAAGCTTTGAAGGCCGTTGGGGACCTTGTTCGGTAGAGATCCAGTAAAATTATTCTGGGATATATCTAATGAGCTTAGCGAGTTCATGTCAGCCAAGGAAGTAGGAAGAGAACCTGCTATGTTATTGCCTGCAAGATTGAGCACTTCAAGGCCAATCAATGACCCAAATTGGTTCGGAAAATAACCGTTAAGCCAATTATGAGAGAGATCAAGAACATGGAGGTTGGATTCACTCAAAGGAGAAAATTTAATAGCACCGGTAAACAAATTGCCCCCCAGATGAAGTTCTTCCAAAGTATCCAAGTTCAGTAGGTCATTTAAAAAAGGTCCATCTAACTGGTTGAAACTGAGATCAAGGACTCTAAGCTTCGGATACTGCAGTATCACTTTAGGTAGCGAGCTAGTTAGTGAATTACGTGAAAGGTTGAGATGATTTAATCTCAAAAACTGAGGGGTCAACTCGGGAATCAACCCTGTCAAACGATTCTGGCTAAGATCGAGGTATTCGATATTCCCCCACTTTGACATTCGGGTTAAATTTCCTTCTAATTTGTTATTTGATAGATCAAGTACCACACAACTTCCGGTCAGTAACGGAAGCTCCCCCATGATCCCGTTTGAAGAAAGATTGAGTGTCTGCAGATTTGTCGACATGATCATGGATATCGGCCCTGGAAGATGAACCAGAAAGTATGAGGAATAGTAAAATGCATACAATAAGACAAAGCAACTAATATGCGCAATACATAAATTGAAAAGAATTCAGGCATTTCAGCATTCACGGGTTAGAAAAAAACTACCTGTGAGATTGTTCCCACTTAAATCGAGCTCGGTTAAAAGTAGAGAATCTCCTTTCAGCAAAACATTAGGAATGAAGCCTGTAAATCTGTTGTTGCTGAGCTTGAGGACCTGAAGATCATAAGCAAAGTTAAATCCGGGCAATTCTCCGGACAGCTGATTGTAGCTTAGGTCCAACACCTTCAAACTTCCAAACAACTGAAGTTCAGCTTCGCCAACCAATGATCCAGTAAGTTGGTTGTGGCTAAGATTTAAAAACTTGATACTCTCGGATATGCCAGGTAGCAATTTCTGTGAACTAGAGCTCTGCAACATATTCATACTGAAATCAACATGGCTGGCATTCGATAGAAGGAAAAATTCACCGGACAAGCTGACGTCTAGCATATTCCCTCGCAAGTCAAGTACCTGAAGACTGGAAATGAGCTCGAACCCTTTTGGTATGCTCTTGGTAAATTGGTTGAAAGATAGATTTAGATACAGCAGCTCGTTCAGTTCTGTTAATGAGGTAGGCAGCATACCGGACAGGGTATTGCGACTCAAGTCCAAAGATAGGATTGAAGCAAGCCCTGAAATTGTGTCCGGAATAGAGCCAGAGAAGTTGTTCCCTGCCAGTGAAAGATTCCTTAAGCTCTCTAGCTTACCGATGGCCGGTGGTAAAGCTGAAGAAAATAGATTATTCGACACATCCAAAAACTCGAGACTTTTGAAGTCACCGACATTGTCGGGAATGACACCGGCAATAGAGTTGTTCGATAACGAGAGTTTCACAAGCTTCGTCAGGTTTGAAAAAACACTCAAGTCTGCATCAATAGAGAGACCTAAGTTTTCAAGGATAACACCAGCAACATTCCCACCATTACAGACAATCCCATTCCATGAAGAAGGGCAGCCATTGAAATCTATCGACTCCTCGTTCCACGAATCGAGGACATAACCAGTAGGATCATGCTTAATATCCTTCTTGAATTCAAGCAATGCCAGAATGTCCTGTGAGGGAAGTTGCCCAATGGCAGAAAGGAAATGTAGGGACAACAGTAAAAACCTAAAGAACTTCTTCATATCCGCCCCTATCAAATCCCAAGTTACTTCAAAACAAGAAACACTCCCTAATGCACAGAGATTTTCATACAACGTCAATTTCAGACAAGCAATGGCCGTTAAACACAAAATACAACCTCAAAAGGACAATCCTTTACATAAAGTAGTAAGGTAATTTCATCAAATAGTACAGGGAATCCTCAAGATGTGAAGAATAACACAGCAAATTTCCTGATAAAAGAGCACATTTTGACAAAGGCCAAGGCTTAAAAGTGATGAATCTGGTTGCAGAGGAATGAATAATGGAAGATACTGAGTTTCGACATAACAATCTTTAGCAACACAGAATGAGAGATAAGCTAATGCATTTAATGACTGAAAATCAGCTGCAGCAACTTTGGGCCCCAAACATAGATCTAACCATAAGAAAATGCAGCAATTTTCTTACCAAGATTCCTTCTTCATTCAACAATGCAAGCTCAAATGAAAACTTTTTAGTATCTGAAAAAAGCTCACGACTTTTAAGCAAACGAGAGCATTTGCTTACCCAAAAAGTGGAAGTGCTTGACACTGGTACTATGAGCTCACTCGAACCAAAAAAAAAAAAAAAAAGCTTCAAAAAGTAAAATGAAAAAGAAAAGGATAAAGTATATCAAAGGTCACTTAATTACACTCAATCTATTATTTTGGTCATTTAACTTTCAAAAATTAAAAAGTAGTTGATAAAATTATCAAAACTGTTATAAGATTATCAATATGGTATTGTAATAAGTGTAGTAATTTGATAAATTTGATGATTATTTTATAAAAATTCGATAGAAATTATTTATAATAATTAGATAAATTTAATGATTATTTTAACCTTTAAAAATATAATTTAGTCACTCATCTATTCTTACGATTTCATTTTGTTTATTTAATTATTTTTTTAAAAAAAAGCATACCTAACATTACATTTAATTTAGTTTTGGTTACTCATAGTTAAAAAATTAACATTAATGTATAATGTCATGTCATCATTAAAAAATAAAAAATTACACCATTAGCAATTTTGTTTTTGTTTTACGGTGATGATCAAAAAATAGAATAAAATATAACGTTGAATATTATTTTAAAATAAATATTTAAATGAGCAAGACGGAAGATGAAATATTGGGCGAGTAAATATGTAGTTTATGCTATATTTTATTAGGATGAAGTTGTAGACCCTTTTAGAAGAACAATAGACTTTTTGACTTTGGTTGCGGAGAAGGGCTAAAACCTAACTTGTTACATGACAATGACAACAAAGCCCCCTCCCCATACCCCAAAAGTGAAAAGGAGGGGTTTTCTTTTACGTCACTTTGCACCAACATTCTCTCTCCAAGCAAACACGTGAGTCAAGTTGTAAGGAGCCAATACGCAAAAAGAAAAACCCTACATTTGTATGTCACTGTTTCTTTCAAAGACATCCTTGATATTACAAACAGCTCACAGTGGAACAGCATAATATTTTAATAGAGGAAAAAAACAAAAACTTTATAGACCTTGGAGAAAGGATCAATGTCTAGTGAGTGAAGTTACCCGCCAAGGGGGAAAATATTTGACATGGTGGACGTCAATGGCTTTATCAAATCCAGTTCAGGGCTTTGGCTTCGGCTTTTTGCTTACAGACTGAGGTGGAGATCAATGAATGGAGCCCGTCAGTGCCCCTTTGACCAGGGCTTTTCATTTTTTCCATCGCAAAATCCATTGTTACCCTTTGTTTTTTATTTTCTAAATTCTTATACGTGGATTAAATCCTTTAAACATATTCGTGTAAGGATTAAATCTTTTAAAATATTGAATCTTAACCCATTTCGAAAGTATTTAAATAAAGATTTTCCATCTAAGATTGTAGGATAAAAATAAGAGAAATTAACATGATTAAATAGAATAAATAAATTGATTGAATGTCAACTCAATTAATATAGTTATTATTATAATATTTAAAATCACTTTTGAGAAATTGATATAATTTAATTATTTTATAGAAGACACAGACTATATGACACCCAATATACAGTAGTATTTGAGTGCTTATTACCATTTAGAATCACGTTTGAGTGAAAATTAGCATTCTTTTCTATTTTTAACAATCAAACTCAAAATTTTATTCTAAAACATCAAACACTTAATAAAAAAAAACAGGATAAGTTGTTATTTTTATGATTGTCAATTAGCTCGTTGGGGAATAAATGGAAAATGAACAAGGAATGAGAGTGGTGAGTTACGTGGGAGCCATAATTACAGAAAAGAATGTGATCTTGGTGAAGGTGTGGGACCCCACTTTCGTCCAACGGTGGGTATACCGACATTGATGATGAGAAAGTACCGTATCTCAATTACCATTAATAGGTCATCAACCACCATATGGAAACACTTCTCCATTCCCATTCCCATTCCCAACTCCAAGATTGGAACGCAGAGAGAGAGAGAGGCAAGCCAAAGGTCCAAATTTCGTATTTTGGGCTAAACTTAGATTCAAGCTTGGATTTTTTTAAGGTATAATTAATTCGATTAACATACTATACAACTGAAAATGAAATTCTAAATATTTTTTATATTTATGATCAGAATTAATGATGAGAAATTATAAACAGAGGGCTAAATTTATAAATGCCTTTTCTTTCGGAACAAAGGTTGTGGCAAGAAAAGGCCCTCTAATTATTAAAGATAAGAAATGCAATTTAATCAACAGTCAAGATGTTATCCTAATTGCTACATACGGTGGATGCGGTGCAAATGATATATATAATCCATCCTCCTCCAACATGTGCATAAATATATATGATTCCGCAAATAAAGCTCATACATCAACACAACAAACGGATGCATACCTAAATATCACTCTCTTGGCTCTTGGGGGTGTTGAGTGATATTTAGCAAAGAAACAAATTGGGTCGAAATGCATATGGATTTGACCTTTTCCGAGGACACAAGTGTGATCCAAGCGCTGCATCCCGCTTGAGGACATTGCTTCACTTCTTCCCACCTCCAGAAACATTGAACTTGAAAAATATTACGTCTCCATCTTGGATCACATAAGTTTTCCCTTCCTGCCTATATTTTCCCGCAGCCTGATCAAAAGGGAAACATGTGAAAAACAAAATGTAATTGCACCTAGATGAAACCATGCGAAACTTTACATGTTAAACAAATGGCACCGTACAAACTTTGGATATGAACCATGGATCATCAATTGTAGCTCAAGATGCAATGAGCCTATATCCAGCCTTTAATCACACTCCCAGGGCAAGGCTTCTTAATATTACATGTGATGAGCTTTAATCCTAAAATTCACAGGTCTAGCCTTAGATCACATGTCAAGTCACTTTCTTTCCCACTTGAATAATTAGTATTCCTTTTATTCTGAATTTCCAACAGACATTTACACAAACAAAAGCTAAAAGAAACCGTTCATAGAGATGCTAACCTTAACAGCTGCCTCACTTCCAAGCTCCTTCAGATCTTCAAATTTCATGACCTGGACAGCACCCAGAAAACAAAGTCACTAACAGAGATACATGTTGCCGTAGAAGCTGGTAAGAAAATCAAATGAATAGGTAAAAAGGAAATGTTGTCCTTTCAGTTGGTTACAAAAGATTCAATGTTTGAACTTAAGCAGTAGAAAAACAACAGTAATCAATACATTCTGAGCATGTTAAACAAATCATGTTGCAGAAAAGGGGCCACTTGAAAAGGCATAATTGTTGCGTCATAGTTCATCACAGAAGATAATAGAGCAAACTTTAAAAGTTTCTTTCAAGGTTTAATATAATATACAAGAAGTCATGATCTAAGACCCAACCTCAGCACATATAAATCCTCTCTCAAAATCAGTATGAATGGCTCCTGCACCTTGAGGAGCCTTGGATTGCCGTCTAATTTGCCAGCATTTCACCTGGAAAAGGAAAAACAATCAAATTATTGATGCCATAAATTGATTAAACCAAAGACAAAAATGCTAAAATGCAACTGCATGGACCTTCAGGGTAATTCAGAATAAGGATATCCACTTAGATTACAACACTGCAATATCAGTATTCTATGATGTACTGAGTTATCATTGTGGGCAGCTATGGAAGTCAAAAGACAACATGCTTATCAAAAGAAAGATTATGGACGAAGTAACAAATCCAGAGGGCATCACATATGAAAAAGGCCTCAAATTCAATATAAGGATCTTAGATCATTTTTAAAAGTAGTAAATACTCTTTGATCCTTCAGATAACTTCTTAACATTTAAATAGAACCAAGCATTCCCATAAAATAAATAAGTACCAAGAATTAGATACCTCATCTGGTCCAGCTGTGAAGAAATATATGAGATTAATAGCCGAGAAACCAGTCTTGATGATCTTTGGAAGCGCACTGTGACAAAAAAAATTCCTCAGCATCATAAATAAACAATAAGAAAAGGAAAAAAAATCAGGTCAAACATCAAGGCACCAAAAACTGACCATCAGACTTCTGACATTTAAAACTAAAAGCGTTCTAAACCCATAAAACAAAAGACATCCATTATCAACTAACCTTTGCACCTTGTTTTCCTCGCAATATTTTGCAGCTTCTGCAGGTTCCATATCAGTAAGGTTTCTCTCAAACACACCACTAAAAGGAATGATAGGTTCACTGCCATGTTCTTGAACCCTGTAAAAGATAAAACAATTCTCAATCCAAATGAAAATAAACCCTAATAAGTTTTATAAGTAAGCTAAATTAAAAGCAAAAAGATGGTTTGTCAACACCGAGAGGTGCAAACCCATTTAATTTTAAGCTTTTCGGTTAAATGTATTTTCTAACAGTAACACCATAATAAATCTAACTGTTGCACTATTAGAGTTTACATTACTCTTGTTATAGTATTTGGGTTTTGTAGTGGCTTTATGGCCTGTGCCTATATATGATATGGTTGTTACTTTTAAGTAGATTTTAGATTATAAATTACAGGGATTACGGACCATTAATTTTTATATTTCTTCCACTGTTTCTCCCTCTCTTCTACTTCTCTATCAATTTCCTATGGTTCTTCCCGGTTCCACCTAATTTTGGTGAATCTCGAGCTTCTCTACTTTACCAGATCCTTTCCTACCTCAATAAAAGCCAATAGAAAACCTAAACATTGGAAAGTGCCAGGAAACATTATACAAAATAACAGAAATCAGAGTGATCTCATCTCGCTATGTTTCTTGGTATTATATAGAACACGCACATGTGAACCCCATCCTTTGAGCATACACACAGAAAAGAAGAGAGCATACCAAGCATGAATCTTCGGTAAGAACTTGTTCTTTTTCCTTTGGTAATCTTTCTCAGTCATGTTAACCTGCACATAAAATAAAATAATATGATAATAAAATATCTGTCTACATTCCTGAAACTATGAAAGATAAAAGAAACTACTTTCTCTAAAAAAATAACATTACAAGCCATGACACATCTTAGGCTCTCCCATATTAAAGTAAGCATCTACAACATACAAATGGGTCAAACACATTAAGCAAAAAGAAATTGCAAAAAGACAAGGCAGCTAGAAATGACAACAGTCTGTAAAGAAAACAAATTTCAGGTCTTCTACCTGGGAATACTTTTGTAAATCTACAGTAAGAATGCAAGACTTCATATATGAACCCATATTTAACCCTAAAAATTAACGAGGTACCCAGACATCTAGGCATTGTTATACTTATCAGATCATTTAGGTAGTAATAGGAAAATCTTATCACAGATTGTTATACTTTAGAACAGAGATGCAGCAAGCAAAAAACCATATAAGATAGCAGCACACCTTACTTAACAGATGACAAGAGCATATTACACACACAGCCATAAGAAAAGGAAAATAAAGTCATTGGTAAGTGCTATAGAAGAAACACAAACCAAATAAACAACTGGCTTGGCACTAAGCAATTGAAAAGTATTCAATATCTCAACATCAGCCGCTTTCCAGTCCCCTAGACGAACATCTTTTCCATCTTCAATCCATGCCTTAACCTGCAATATAACAAGCAAGATTGCTTTTTGGAATTAGTATAATCTACCATTAGCAAATTTACTCTATAGCATAACATCATATACGATGAACATGATAATCTGATTAAATGCATACTTGACTGAGCTATAATAGTCTTTACAAGTTACCATTAAAAACAAAAACTGGATAAAATTTAGACTTTATGTTCAGTGACAATTAGTCTTTACTGATGACTTTTTACCACCACCACAATCATGATCTTCAGTATGTGAACTTCTGACCACAATTTTTTAAATAACGGTCTTGAGTGTTAATTTGGGCCCATCTTTTAGAATGTGGGCCTAAGGCCATGAACCTTATGTGAGGGGATAGCAACTTTTGGATCATGGTCACTGGTGGTCTAAAGTTCTGGAGTAAAGGTTGTTGCTAAAAGTAGAAACTCTCAATTCATTGGTCCTCTATAAATAGAACAGAACCCACCTAAACCTTAATAAAGACTAACTTTTGACAAGATAAAACTAAAAACAATATCAAGATGTGCATAGACTAAAGGGCAGCCACATAGAAGAATAATGAGATGATTTCCTCTATTTACAATGCATAAGCAGCAGTAATAGAAAAACGCTAATAAAAAATCAGACCCACAAGAATGACATATACATAAGATGAGACCTGCAGAAAAAGTAAAAGATCAAATGCTCAAAACCCTACCCTTTGACACACTTCAAGCTCTATTTTTAATTGCTTGTCATTACTCCTCTTCATGCTCTTCTCAAGATCTTCCATCTTCCTTTCCATAAATTCAACATCCTAAAGAAAACGAAATTTGAAAGTAATCAGTACATTAAGGTCCTATTAGATTCTTAAATGTTGAAGTAGAATAACAGAAAAACTATTATATAGAAAAACTATTATATAAGGAATCCACAATGAAGCAATGAAAGGATTGCATAAGAAAAGGTCCTCTTCATCTTCAAACTTGTAAAATGTAGAGTTGTCAAGGTGCAACGCCCACTCTAGGTGCTAGAACCTTATATTGCTTCAGATGCAAGACACATAAGGGTTACCCAAGTGAAGTAAAGTGCAACATGTATATCATTGAGTTTTTGTATGTATGTATAAATGTAAAGCATGCCCTTATGGTCCATGTCAATAGTTGAATACTAAAAAGTTGAGAAGTATAGAGTTCAATGCCGTTCATTTCTTACCAGTAAAGACATCCAATGAAAAGGGTAGGAAAAAAAAGAAGTTAACAAGAACTTCAATCAGGTGAGCAAGCCAAAAGTGCACCTAGGTGCACCAGGCGTGCACGTGATCAAATAGGCATTGTTGTCCAGTGCTAAGACACATGCCTTAAAAAGAATGGTAATGTGTGTTTCTTAATCTTCCAATTCCAAATGAAAAACAGGCTAGCTGTATTTTAATTGTATTTTATTAAACAGAGCTCCAAATAACTATTGCAGGAATATTAGATTTCAAGAACAAACCTTTAACCGTAACTCAGCACTAATAGTCTCTAAATCTCTTACAGGATCAACAGAATCGTCAACATGGATGATATCTGAATCTTCAAATGCACCTAAAGGATTGAGTGCATAAAATAAGATTCCAAATAAATAATTCTTACACCAATAGCACACAGGTGATAACTATAAAAAAAATGGCTTTAAATAAGCAGACATTGTGATTTGTAACATAAAAACAGAAGACAGAAACATTTCCAGCTCAAAAGGCTAGGCATCTTACGTAAAACATGAAAAATGCCATCAACTGCACGGATGTGAGACAAGAAGTTGTTGCCCAATCCTTGGCCTTCATGGGCACCTCTAACCAGTCCGGCAATATCATGAATTTCTAAGAAAGCTGAAACCTGATGCATCCGAACTTCTCTAAGTTTTAGGCAGAAACAAGCTAATAAAACAATAATAAGCTTACATTCAGACTTTTACATTGAAAACGGCTAAAACACTAAAAAGCCCCTGAACAATTTCAGTTTTATTAAGTAAGCCCCAATACTTGAATTGTACTTAAATAAGCCTTTAGGAAAGGTTGTTTTATATTAAGGGTTAATTTAAGTATAAATTAAAGGATATAATACCATTGCAGCGGCTTAAGTGCAAGTAATGCTAATTTTATGCAGATAGGCAAAACAAAGCAGAAAACAGGTTATACCTCACTTTTGGGTTTGAACAATTGGCAAAGCCATTCGAATCGCTCGTCGGGGACATTAACTCGGGCTTCATTAGGCTCGATTGTACAAAAGGGGAAGTTCTCGGCAGGAATAGAAAGTTTAGTAAGCGTGTTGAAAAGAGTAGATTTTCCCACATTAGGCAATCCCACCTGCAAGTGAAGAAGCGATATTCAGAAGATGAAAAGCTTTAGCTTCAAGAAAAGAAATGAAAAATGAAGTTGAAAGAAGAAAGTTACGATTCCGATCTTGAGGTGAGAAGAGAATCGCCCAAGGATCGGCCTCTCGGCTGGTGCTTCCTTGGATTTAGATGCTTTAGGAGGCATTGCTTTTAGGGTTTGGAACAGAGTTGACGCGATGTAGCAGCAGAGTGCTGAGGTTATGTTTTTTTTTCCTTCTGGGAAAGGGACTTTGAGTTGCTAGGAAACCTATCTTATACTCGATTCAAAACCCTAGGCCCAGTTCACTGAGTCTGTACGATCATCCATTGTTGGAGAAACATTTATAGCAGTCCAATTGTAAAGGCTCAAAGCCCAAATTACTACACAGCCTCTATTATAACCTAAATACTAACCTCAAGCGAAACCATGACATTCTTTTATGAGATTATGGGTATTGGCTTCAATTATTTAATAAAACATATTTAAAAATCACGCCACCTAGAGTTGGTAAAAGAGCTATTATTATTCTTGAAATTTCGAATTCGAGCACCATGAATTCCAATGATACGAGCATTCAAATATCAAAATATTTAAATTTATCTATGAATAGATACATCCAACGTTAATCAATAAAAAATATTAATTTAAATATAAGGTTTCCTTTCATTTTGATATTTCACACCATTAGTCTCATTTTTTATCCTCGCCTCTTGGTCATCAAAGTTGTCGACAATTTATTTCATTTTGATATTTTGTATAATTGTTTTGTCAATTGTCGAGGAGAACTGAAATTTGGGAACATGAGGTCTCTTGGACAATGACGAAGCTAAAGAGTAAGAGTCTTGTCTCCACCTTGTTAAAGGTAATTTGGAGTGCATATGCTTGCTATATTTGGAAGGAGCGAAACAGAAGGGTTTTTGGCGCCGCGGGTTCAAAACAATGTGGATGAAGTCATCTGAAAGATAGAAGAGGAAGTCTAAAACAGGGAGTGATCAATGCTAAGTTATGTAAAGATTGGGGTATTATTTGATTGATTGTTGTTTAGAGTTGAAACTATGTTTTATTGTTTGATTTCAGCTCAAGGTTATAGTTGGTTTTTGCAATATCAACAATTATTAAAAAAAAAAACCAATTGCTCGTAAAACTTTAGTAAAACTATCAACGATTTTGGGCATCAAATATTTTTTATCCAAGGAAGAAGATTATGTCAAAATTATCAATGGTTAAAGGTGAGTTTGATCATTACTTCTCAAAATAACATATTTTCTAGTTGAAATCCTTTTATTTATCTTAAATAACCCACACGTCAAGTATCATCCTTCTTCTCTCCTTTACCGTGTCTTTACTTGCCTATATCTCTCATAATCCACCCTTGTCTTGTTTGGAGTTAGAGGTGCACAAAAAATTCGAATATTCGATTTTGGGTAAAAAATATCCGAAATCAGATTTTGGAAAAACCGGTTTTTTTTAAACCGGATCGGATATTTAAAAACCGGATAGTATAACCGGTTTGAGAAAAAATTGAACGACCGGTTTTTTTACCGGATTAAAAACCGGTTTTTTTCAAACCGGATAAAAAACCGGTTTTTTATCCGGATAAAAAACCGGATTTTTGCAAATCGAAACCGGTTACACCGATTACACCATCCGACCTTCTAAACCGGTTAGGATCCGAACCGGTTTTTTTAAAATCCGGTTTTTGGGTTGGGAGAAAAAATCGGATCGATTTTTATTCGATCCGGATCGGATTGAAATCTAGCTTCTGTGCATCTCTATTTGGACTGCTTGTCAGACCAATCACCCACCTACAACAATGTCATTGTCAGTAGTGCATCGATTCTTTTTTTCATTTAAGTGATTTGATAGCCAGTGTTAGAGTTGATTCAATTTCTCTCAAAACTGAAATCATAGTCTTAAGCACTTACTAAACATAGTAATTATATCATCAGCCATGATTTGTCGAACGAAGACCACCGCGAGCAATTATTACGCAACTTTTCCCATCACTAATGATGTGTGGAGAATGTATAATTGATTATTCCTAGTTATTCAATTGGTTGGCCGTTTGTTAGTAAAGTTAGTTTTCAGTTGTATATAAATCAACTCTTGTACAGCTATTTCATATATGATATTGAGGTATTCTCTAAGATCGTCTTAACATATGGATCTAACCAATAAAATTAAGAATCTTCGCGGAGGGAGAGAAGCAAACATATCGCCATACTAAATTTACCAAATAATTTTGAATAAAATGGTGGTTCAATGCATATGTTTTATATTCAATGTCATGGACAGCTCAACAAGCATCAAATAATATCAAAATAAGCACACAAACAAAGCAAATTATAAAGACCACCTAACAGCAGCAGCACATCAACCTTTAACTATAAATGGTATCATGCGGTGGATGAGACCTTTATCGCAGCGACATGGACAATGATTTTGCAACCACCTAATTGCCCCTCTCTCTTATTAAATAACCCTCCTTGACAAGTGCTGTTTAACAATAAAATTGGCCTGAATCCAATGCTCAAGAAGAAGTTACAGTCTTTGGAGATGAGGCTGGGTTGAAAGCTTCTTGCTCGGCACACGTTAGCTCATCGTGCGGCCCTGCCTCCTCTCTCCCGACACCCAGCAGATCAAGGTAGTAGAGGTAATGTGAGATAATGGTGTTCATCGGATTGATATCGCCCTGCCCACAAGTGTATTCTCCGTAAAGAACATTCATAGTGGTGCCAAAAGTATTACCCCGCTTGGACAATGTGTCGTTCTTGGTTGGTTTCCAGTTGCCTACAAAAATGTCGTGAGCTGAAGGTTGGTTCTTCTTGATCGGGGTCATCCACCTCCAAATGGCAGCCTGGAAAGCAATAGTTGCGTTCTGCTCAAGATACTCAGGATGGTGCAACAAATCAACTTTTATACCATCCCCAGCAGCTCCGTAGTTGTAGTTCCTATGATCATACAGCCACCGGAAACACTCAGCAGTCAATGACTATTAATACAAACATAAATCATCCCCACAACCTAGGGGAAGCATCCTATTTTACACAAATACGCATATATATATCCAACAAGTGTCCCAAAAGATGCAGGTAATCTTAAAGGCAGTAAGCACTGAAACAGCTGCACAGACGTATTATGTTACTCTGACTCGAGTGTAAGTATCGAACAAAAATATGATAAATTTGTTCCAAGATTTATGTTTTTGGAGAGTTATTGGAGGATTATATCTCCATACCCATATCCGGATATTGGTCGGACATTGTTATTTAAAGAAACAAGAAGAATCGGAGTTGCATAGCATGCCTATGAATAATTTAAACAGAATAGCAACTCGAACAGACAATGTAAAACTTAAATCAGTAACAATGATAAAGTGCAGATTAAAAAAATCAATAAATGTTTAAATCTTAACTGGAAAAAAGTACTATACAAACCAGTAAATTGGCAAAGCACCACGGCCATAGTATGAAGCTCCAGGGGCACATGGATACATATATTTATAGAAATCATCACAGTAATCCTGCATAGGGCTCATTTCTCTGTTGAAGCAAAGGCCATAAGAGTATGGTCCTCCGGTCAAGACTCCATCTCCACCTAAAATGAATCACCATCATTAAAAACTCTCCCCAAGTCCTCAACTGACATTAAATAACTATACATAAACATCGAAAATCAACGTTTTCAGGTGCATTAAATCAATGTATTTCTTGCATTTCATCCAAAAGTTTATCATACAGAAGATCAAATAAACAAGTGAACAAAATAAATAAATAACAAACACGTGCACCGAGATCTTAACTTAGAATGAGTTATTCGTTTAACTCTTCGTTCTATTCAAGCAGTTTATCAAACAGCAAAAGGACTGCATTTTAAGGTTAGCTGTTTTGACGCAGAACACAGAGCTACACTAACAATGAACAATTATCCATATTGCATTTTATCCAAATTTTAGCAAGGATACCTCAATAGTCAAACAGAAGATCAATTAATAACATGTCCCAATATCTTAATTTACAACCAGTCATTTCTTTAAATCTTTAGTCCAATCAATTTATCAAAGACCAAAAGGGAACGCGATCTGAACTTAGCTGACTTGACCCAGAACACAATCTTTAACAAACGAATTTAACGGAAGAATTTATAGTCCAATTTACAAGGTTGAACAATTGTGGATCTAGCTAAATGTGCAGTCAATTCCGAAATGATTAAGAATCAATACGAATTAACGAAAGAAAGAACTCACAAGATGTTTTGGCGCCGACATGGGCAAGAAAAGCCGCGACTTCCTTCATTTGCATAAGCTTGCCACCGGTTGTCCCAAAACCTAGAGGCTCGTACATGGCTGCAGCTAAAATAAAAGAGTGGTAATCCCAAAATCCGATGGCATGAGCCACCGGCGTATTCCTCTTAGAAAAGAGGTCCTCGAATTGATAAACCGCGAAGACGTCCGAGATCGTTTGGTTGCAACAATATTTCGACCACCAGCTGCATTCCCAACCTTGTATACACACCTTGTTACCCTTCTTTTGCCTGACTCGAATCTCCTTATCACCATCAGCGTCAGCCGTTAAAGCAAGATTCGCAACCAAAGCCACAATGAGAAGCAAAGTGATGGCTTTGCTGAAGTCAGCCATTGTTGGGCTTTTTCGTATTGGTTTCTCTACTGACTCGTTTAGTGTTTGAAAGCAAGAAATGGAGGACTGGGGTTGTAAGAGGGGGGAGAAACGAAAGGGAAATGCTTTATTAGATCGAATGTATTCTTTCATAGCCAGAGGTGCATGTGTTTTGAGTATATAGTTAAATGTCGAGCATGTTTGGGACGATCTAACGGTTGATAATGGATTAAATGTCTGATGTTTAGGTAATACCAGGCTGGATTTTGGAGGAAGGAAGGAAGCTAATGAAGAGTTTGCCCACTAAATGTTCCACCGACAACTTCGGGAATAAATAGATTACTTTAGATAGAAATGACTCAGCCTCGATTTTCACTGTAATGACAATAGGCCGAGTCTGGCTTTACTTTTGGTATAATTACAACTTCCATGCTTATATTTTGTCTATTTAACTCCAATTCTTTGGGTAACGTTAGGGATGGCAATGGGTCGGGTCGGGTTTTTGGGCCACCCGACCCGACCCCCAAAAACCCGACCCGACCCGAGAAGAAAGGGTTCTCTACCCGTGACCCGACCCGACCCGACCCGAATATATGACTTAGAAACCCGACCCGACCCAACCCGAAATAATAATAAAAAAAATTTAATTCAATGAAAAGTGACTTAATTGAAAAAATTATATGGAGGGATATTATTGTAATTATCCCTAAATATATAAGATAAAATTATATATATTTTTCGGGTCGGGTCGGGTCGGATTTTTTAACCCTAAACCCGACCCGACCCGAACAGTGCATTTAAAAAAACCCGACCCGACCCGACCCGAACCCGATTTTTTTAAAAAAAAACCGACCCGACCCGATCGGATCAGGTCGGGTCGGAACCCGTCGGATTCGGGTTGAGTTGCCATCCCTAGGTAACGTACATTAAAGGTCAATGAACTATAATAAAATATTGTTTTAGTCACTTAACTTTTAAAAATTATAAAATGATCATTAAATTTTTCAAACAATTATAAAACATACATTAAGTTTTATCAAAATATTACAAAATGACAACGAAATTTCATCAAAATATTATAAGATAATTATTAAATTTATTAAACTTATATAATTATTTTAATGTCACAATAATTATTTTGTAATAATATAATAACTATTTTAAAATTTTTATTATTTTAATTACTAAAACAATCATTTTTACATAGTTCAATGACATCTAATAAACTTTATCATATATTTTCACTGTAACCTTCAATCTTTCAAATATAATTGAATAGTTGTTCATAAATAAAAATAGGGTAAAGTGTATATATGATCCCCAATTATAGGGTGTTATTTTATTGAGTCCATTGACTATTAAAATTTACAAAATGATCCCCTAACAATAGGATATTATTTTGTTGAGTCCCCGACTATTAAAAATTATAAAATGACCACCCCAATTATTCATAAGTTACAAACTCATCTTTTTTCCTTAAAAATTTATGGCTATCTGAGCGGACGTAGGGATGGGCACATGACCCAAACCCGACAGGTTATGACCTTATTTGGTCAGGTTTAAAAAACAGGTTCGAGTTGGGTTGGGTCAATTTTTGGAGGATGAGTTTAGGTCGGGTCAGGTTCGAGTTTAAGGTGAAAAATAATCGGCCAAAAAAATATAATTATACCTTATATATTTATGAATAATTACAATAATACCCATTGATATATTATTATTTTTCAATTCGATCCCTATTTTAAAATAATAAAATTAATATTTTTATAAATATAGTTATTTTAGGTCGGGTCGGTTGAGTTTGGGTTTTATCTCAAAAGGCATGTTGGGTTTCGGGTCGAGTGAAGTCACCCTAAACTCGGGTCAGGTCGAGTTTCAGATGGATGATGCATATTTTTCGGGTAGGGTTGGGTTGGTCGAAAACTTGACCCATGCCCATCCGTATTTGGATGTTGACTTGTTAACTATGATATGATAAAATTATATTCTTAATTATGTTTATTGGCATCGTTGTTGCTTTCAACACTAGCTCGACAATATAATGTAAATGAAGAGTTGATCCAAAAATACAACTCAAACAATTATGGGATCAAGTTTTATCATATCTCAACCAACAATTTAACGACCATCTCAGACAACAGTCATTTTTTTAAGGAAAATGATACATTTTAAAAATATGATTAGTTAGGTGACTATTTTGTAACTTTTAATAGTTGAGGACTCGACAAATTAATGCCCTTTAGTCAGATACTCAACAAAATAATATCATATAGTTGTGGAACCATTTGGAATTATGAGAGCAAACATATTTGGTCGAGCAATCAATTTGTTGTTTCCTTATATTTCCCGAGGTAATAGATTTTAGACCTACTAGAAGTATTCTTGTTCCTTCTTTTAGAGTCTCTCTTTCCCTTCCGTCTCTATAGGATTAAGATTAAATTTAGAATTTATAAAAAAAAAGTAAGTTCATGTTGAGATGATTAGGTGTTAGTTACATTAGTTAGTTTGTTATGGTAGTTATTCAATTGTATTTTATTCTGATTATATAAGAGCAAAGATAAGTCTACAGCGAACGTCACACATCGATGTGCACCACTATATATAAAATGATACAAATATAAAAATATAAAAAAAATTAAACTTTAGATTTCATTAAAAAAACACTCACATTTAACTATTGTTAAAATGATGATGTGGCACACTAAATTAATAAAAAAATATCTCATTTGCTTCCTCATTTGTGACTAAAATTTTATTATATTTTTAATATTTTTAAGTAATAATTACAAAATAAAAAAATGTTTTTAAATATATGAATTTTCAAATTTTATTTTTTAAAATTATAAATATATTTTTAAAATTACATTTCTATTAAACAAAATAAAAAAAATTGAATTACATTGTTTTTAATAAAAAAAATTGATTTTATTTTTTGATAACCGAGATTGTTGAATCTTAAAAATTATAAATTACAATTTACGAATATAACAAAAATAAATAAAAACTATTTATAAAATAAATTTATAATCAACATGTTCATAAAGTTATTATATATATATTTATATATATATATAATTGATATTTTAGTTGCAAATTGAGAGATTAAATGAGATATAATTTTAACATTTCACGTTTTATAAAAAAATGTGTTCATACTGTTGTCGTAACCGATTTCCGGCGATACGACGAGTCTCGACTCATTACGTGAAAACCATATTTTGTAAAAGAAATGTTTCGGAGTCGCCATCGACCTTTTGGGTTAGGTAGGCTGAATACCCAAAAATCTTCTTTTAAAAGAGTTTTTTAAGAAAAACATCATTTTAAAAGATGCATCGATCCACGTATAACCAGAAATTCATTTTTAGAAATAAAAAAAAGTTCGGGGGTCGATTACGTGTGGGGAAGGATTAACACCCCCACAACGCCCAAAATTGGTACCCATCGATTATATATTGTCTCTAAATAGTAGAAATCTAAGAATTCGAATATATATTTAAATCACAATTCCATTATTCCTAATTCAACCATACAAATATTATAGAACAAAAATTCTAAGGAAAAATATAAAATATTCTCTTATTTCCAATTGAAGAAAAAATACTCCCTAAAATACTTTAGGACGAATATTTCTCTTCCCAATTGAAATAAAAAAAATATAATTTTTCCTAAGGATCCATATAAAAAAATTATTCTACCAAAGAAAGAAATTAAATTTATTAATCCGAATATTATTAGAAAAGATAAGGGATATTCAATAATTTAAAACACCGAGACTTATCTCTAATAAAATTAGCAATTGTCTCGATAAGTTTAAAATAATGAATATTTCCTTTTCCCTTCAAAATTAATTAATTTTAAATGCAATCAATTTTTTAGGTTTTTCTAGTGGGATATTTATTTATTTTAAAATATCGGAAAAGGACATCTAGTTGTTTTAAGACTGTCCCTTCTTAATATTTTAAAATACATAAATACTACCCTTAATCCAATTATATAATCGGTTAAGTTTGCTAATGAGGCTTTTAAACAAAATAAATATGATACATTGAAGCACTTAGAGAAAAAATATAACACATGGATTAAAAAGAATCATTTAAAATTTATTTTTAACTTTATATTGCTTTATAAATATATACATATTTTCTAAATATTATATTAAACATAGAACATGATATTTATTCTAAAATATAATAAAAATATAAAATAAAATGTTTCTATCATGCTATAATATTATATACAAAGTAATATATAATAATAATACAAAAAAATACATATATAAAACATAAAACATACTTTAATGGTAAAAATAAATATACACTTGGATTCATTCACTATATGGTGACAAAAATAAATATAAAGTAACTTTGATATCCTAAACATTAATAAAGTAAATATTCTAGCATTAAACAAGAGATAACAAATAGAAGCACTAGAATCATGATAAAACCATAAACTAGGACTAAAATAGAAAAACATCAACATCAGTGGCCAATCTCGAGCAAAAAAAAATACAGCAGAGGACTAAATTAAAATAATACAAAACCAAACATCTAATTCGTAAATCTTAGAAAATAAAAGGAAATGGTGACTAAATTGCAAAAAATGCTAAAACTATGAGGACCTGAGACACGATTAACCCTAAAACTAATAACTAACATGAAACACACTAAAAAGGGGACTTAAAGCGTGATTTACCCAAAACCTTAAGATATCAACTCCTTCCCCCCTCTCCAGAATCATTTTTTCACGCAGTTTCTAATCCCAACTCTTTCTCCCTTTTTTTCCTCCCTCAACTCACGGCAGCGTTCACCAAGGAAACCAAAAAGAGCCACCACACACGATGGCGCTACTACCCAAACTACACTAACCCGACTCTAATCGCTTCCCCTACGACTCTATTCGACAAGGAACACAAAAAATCCAGGTAAACTTACTCTTTAACTTATTTTCTTTCCCTAAAAAATTTATCTAAACTTTGTTTTAGTTTTTATTATCATTTTTAAAACCAAATAACAACGAAAAGGAGAAGAAAAATACCTTAAAAAGGCTTATTGTATTTCTGTTGAGAAAGAACGAGAGGAAGAGATCCCCTCTCGGTTACATGG